GAGGTTTTGACTAGATATTAGGAAAAATTTCTTTACTGAAAGAGTGGTTAAGCATTGGAACAGGCTGCCCAGAGAGGTGGTGGAGTCACCATCCCTGGAGGCTTTCAAAAAAACTTGTAGATGTGGCACTTTGGGACATGGTTTAATAGGCATGGTGGTGTTGGGTTGATGGTTGGACTTGATGATCTTGGAGGTCTTTTCCAACATTAATGATTCTATGATTCTAAGAGGAAGATTTTGATGATAAAGTACTATTATCTAGCATGCTGTAAGGAAAGGATGAGAAAGGAAATTTATTGAATTTTCTCAATGACAAACATAATTTTCATGAAATGAAAGTTTTAAAGCAGGTAGTGATTATATCAGAACAAAAAAAATCAGGTGTATAGTCTGTAAAATTGAATGCTTATTAACTTTCTATGAATTATCTATTTCTTACTAAGGAATTATCAAAACTGCACAGTCTTCAACTTCAGCATTTCCTCCAAGAAGGTAATGGAATTATGTCATGTGATGTACTTAAACTTTTTTTTTCTCCTCCTGAATTATTTGGATTGAATACATCCAAACCCCAAAGTAACTATTATTAGTACACAGAAATACATAGAGCGTAGGAGGAAATGAATGACAACTTTTCTTGCCACCATTCCAAAGTATTTACAACTCTGTGTTTAATTTACTTTGAAAAAAAAGCCCAAAATTATTTATCTTGTAGTACAGCCAAATTCTATTGGATTTATTTGTACAAAGTTTCTAAGTGTAATTTTAAAATTATATGCCAAATTTCCTGTAGCTGGTGATGAATCTCCCACGGGAATGAGTTTCAAATTGCTTGCCAGCATCTGCAACAATTTCTTTTTGAAACATAGGTAGAGCCACAGTCTGTTACTTCATTAGAAAAAGAGGTTGCAGGAGCAAGAGAAAGCAGAGTATTCGATTAGCACTCAGAAGTTTATCACCGCTTGTCAAAGTGTTTTGCACATATAAAAGTGATCACACACACTATCGCAGTTATTCAGGTCAAAGCCTGAAGCTTTTGATTTGAGAGGAAATTCTTATTTTAGTTGACGAGAAAGAAAAATGTTGTAATGTGATCCAGTTTTGACTAAGATCTGAATGTCAAGAGGTTTTTCTACTGGCAATGGCCAAGGACCTTTGGTTATCTTACAGTGCACACCACAGCATTAAACATGAGTAGGCAAAGGTCTGGCCAAAGCTCCCTAAGCTATTAATATCAAGTTCCCTACTCTAAGCCTATTCCAGCCCACTGACAGCAGAGATGGTTAGCTTCCACAGCTAAAAATCCCCTAACCGTACGATACTGCCTACAGCTTAGCCATCAACGCTTGCATTTCATCAGAAAGGCATTTCTCATCATAATGCTTCCAAGGAATCCAAAGCTCGGGTTCAACCATTTACCCAGGTCAGTGCTCTACACAATCAAACATTTTCTCATTGCCAGCTGGTGAAATGTCAGTGATTTCTTCAGAAATTTCAACATAACTGCATCTGAGTTGAGTAAGCTTGAATTGCTCAACATAAAGGCACCATAAAATATTTGCTCTCAGATTCCACATAAAGCATTTGCAGAGTTCTTCCGGAGACTTGGAGTTCTTTGGAAGCCAAGCATTCCACAATGGTAAGTGAAAGGTTTAGATTTTTATTTTTTTTTTTAAATGAGGATACAGATAGCTATTTGCTGTGAAACTGCAAAAGAAGGATATTTAAGAGAATCACCTAGTTGCATATTTTTAAATGTGGATATATTCTATTAAAAGACCTGCAAGATGCAAAGAAAGTAAGACACCTTTGTGAAGACTATTGTGAATTTTGTTCTTTGTTTTGTAATTCTTTGCAAGAAATTGTACACATATATCTCTTGGACTTTCACTTGCTGTTATCCTTTCCTCAGAAATGTTTGTGAAAATATTCAGAATTTTGTGAATATGCCTTCAAAACCTATAGATGTGAAATACAGTTTAAAATATAGCCCCTTTACAATTAAAAGCGTATTTTGTCTGCATTTCTCTTTTGAGCTATCACACTGTGCCCTGTTTCAGCTCTTCAAGCCTCCAAATGTGTTTGCAGAATCTGAATCAACAGTTAGGTAACGCTAACTAGATAGACAAAGCCCTATGGCCCAGTTTTCCTCTAATTTATGCTCATGTAATCCCCAAAGGTACAGACATCAATTAGTAGCTCTGATGACAATCTCGGGAATGGCCTAAGTTTTATAGAAGAGGCAGTAGTTTCTGTAATATATGTAGATTCCTAAATAAAGCGAGAAATTATCATCTACTTCTTTCTCTGCCTAAGCTTTCTGGAGGGCTTGTCTATACTCAGACAAGACTTAGTTGAACAAAATGATTTGATATCTCATTCCACATTAATTCACCCACTTTCAAAGGCCATTAAATCCAGTTTGGAAGATTCTGTTTTGCAAGATGGCTGGTGGCATCCCTTTTTTACGATAGCAAACAAGCAAAAAAAAAAAAAAAGCTCCTTGAAGTGCCTTGCTCACGGACCACCCAGAACAACACAGCTCTGACTTTTAATTAAGAGCCCTTGGCGTCAGTGTAACAATCATCATCTCTGCCATTGCTGTTTCTGCCAGCGCTTTCTTACCTCTTGGATACCCTCTGTGCCCTTTACTGCTAACTACCTGTGGCTTAGCTGATGTATCCTTCGGTCGTTACAGTGTAAGGCCAGATCAGACAGCAATTAGATACCCCAGACTTCCCGTTCTGTTTCTGTTTAGATTCAGTGGAAGGTCTAAAACTTCGGTCTTTAGACAGAGGAGCACGCCCAAGTTCATCTGACTGGCAATTCTAGGAATAGCAAGATAAGGACAAATGTAGCAAACAAAGGATGAAACATTCACAGAAGACAGCCCAGCACAGCAAAAGAAAGATTTTAGTCTTTTCTATAAAGACATGGGTGGCAGCAGTAAGACCTCTGGTAGAACTGGCCTGTGCTGTTGCAAACACCTGAACCAGTTTGGAGGAAAGCCACCACCAAACTCAAGATGGATGACTAATGTACAGCAAGCAGCATCCCAAAGCTGTTGAGATCCTCTGTGGAAAGGCATGATTCCCTGAGCTCACAAAGCCCCAGATAGCTGCACAGCACAGATAGCCCCACAGACCCACGCCAAACGCACGCGGAGCCTCAGTAGAAACCGTCTGCAATGTTACATCCTACAACTTCATGGAACTGGAGTTGCTTAGACAATTTTCCTTTGGCCAGGCACCACAGAATAGCACAGTTTAAGAGTTTCCACCTTTCTTCTTAACTTCTCATTTTGGCTGTGGTCCTCAGCATGGCAACTGGTTCTGTTCTACCCCAAAACCTCAGAAACAGCTGAGACCGCTGGGCTTGTTTAGCCTGAAGAAGAGATGACTGAGAGGGGATCTCATCAACACATACAAATATCTTAAGGGTGGATGTCACGAGGATGGAGCCAGACTCTTCTCAGTGGTGCCCAGCGACAGGACAAGGGGCAATGGGCACAAACTGAAACATAAGAGGTTTCAGTTGAATATGAGGAAGAACTTCTTTACCTTGAGGGTGACAGAGCACTGGAACAGGCTGCCCAGGGGGGTTGTGGAGTCTCCTTTTCTTGAGATATTCAAAACCCTCCTGGACGATGTCCTGTGCAACCTGCTCTGAGTGAGCCTGCTTTAGCAGGAGGGTTGGACTGGATGATCTCCTGAGGTCCCTTCCAACCCTTGACATTCTGTGTGATTCTGTGTGTGCACTCCAAATCACAGAACTACTATGGAAGTTAAGCATTACACCCCCCCCCAGACCACTCCATAGACCCTCCTCCTCCCTTTCACTACACCATAAATGATAAATATCCCTCTGCCCTGTAAGAAAGCAGCACATCAAGGATTAAAATAGCAAGTGTTTTCCACAGCAGACAGAGGAGATTCCCGTTGGCTCACCATCTGCCTGAGGTTCAGGACCTTTCAATGTCTTTTGATATTTGTGATCCAAGTAACCCAAGGTAGACAGCAGAGCTGCCTAAATACAAAGCCTCTCACTGCTATTTCTGCTATTTTACACCCCAGTTTCAAGTAGTGACAGCCTCTGGAGTAACTTGGAAAGATCTACTCATTTTACAATGCTTTCGTGTTAATCTGCTAGTGCTACCAAGAAAATTTCCGTAACTTCCTCCACTGCTTCTCAGTCTCTGGCCATTCCTAAACTTTTGCCTTAAGTTATCCAGCTTGAGCAACCCATCAAAATAACACTGTGCTCTCCCATGCTTCTCCAGTCCCTCTACCCCAGTATAACTGCTGTTACAACGTTATGCAAGCATTTTCAAAAAAGTCCTGGTTATTCAGCAGGTCCCAGCCGATATCTCTGAAGAGCTCTTACAGATGTGTAGCTGTTGCCACCACTGGACAAAAGGAAGGATGTCCTGTGACATGTCCTGACCTGTGTGTGCATGGTTTGACAAGATGGCTCATGTGCTGCTAAACAGATTATACAGCACTGAAATTTTGCCATAAGACACTAAATTGTGTCTCTTTTCTCTACCCAGCCACCTATTTCAAAAAACCTTACTGGAATATAACTAGGCCTGAGATCTCCACTCCACTGCCAAATTTGGAGGAATTGCTGTACCTCAAAAGCGAAGTAAAGGGATGCTATATAGACAGTGATTTGCTGGAGAAGTAGCTAAATCTGACTCAGAGGCAATAAATAAAGCACTAATAAGAGTCTGACATGGCTTTCAAGCGTATAATACTACTGAAGCTTTTTGTGATTTCTAGAGATTGGACTTCATCAAGGAGTGATGCTGCTGACGTATTTATGTCTTATTATTTTGTCTCTTCCCACCTAAAGGAAAAAGCCATCGATGCAGTGAAATATCTAGAATGCCATTTTCCAACATTTTTATGTACACATAAGGTTATTTCTAATTTCTGCTTCAGGTTCAGTGATCTAGCTTTTTAAAACAAAGATAATGGAAGTGGAATTAAATTTATGCCATGGGCTCTGTGTCTCTTTTGCAGAAGAGCTTTCTGGCTTTCCTTGTTGCAATGGGCGTCATAGTGACACTGGGTGATGCATACTGCTTTTCTAAAATGAACAAGCCAGAGGAGTCCGACAAAGGTAAGGACAGGGAAGCTCCTCTCACTTGGTTGTTCTGTGGCAGCTCAGCTCTATGGCGACCTGCCAGGAAGGGCTCAAAATACAAGGGAGAGGGGAGATGTCAGAAAGACACAAAGAGGAGATTCCAGCACCAACTTTCCAAAAGTAGGGAAATCCAAAGTCTTCCCCTGGGCTGGGTATGGTTGCAGCACTGTTATTGCTGTTGGTGGTGGGTTGCTATTGCTATTCCAGCACATGGAGCTGATGCTGGAGTTAAAAGTCATTCTGAATAAAGTGTGGTGCCAGGTGGCAGACCTGGCTGTTTGGATGCTCATGTTCATGCCAGATCTGTCACACTGAAACTGTCTCCAACAAGTGAATAAGAAACCAGTTCAGGCTCTCAAAACAGTCCATGTAATAACCTGGAGAACAAAATTACTTCTACTTCACTATTAAAAAAAACCCAAAACAAAACAACAAACCCACCCCCCAAAATCCCCCAACATTTTCACTTTTAAACTTTTCCGCCATTATGTGGAGGCCTAAAGAATGTGTTTTCTTTTGCTGCTGTCTTATGCAGGCTGTACCCTGGATGGAAAACTATACCCCTTTGGAGAGATCGCAAGGACAGATAGTTGCTTCCGATGCAGCTGCAGCCGAGATGCAATGCGTTGCTGCTCCCTGTAAGTTTGAACTTCTTGGTAGCATCATTGCCCACAGAAAGACCACAGCTTTCCATTTGCTGGGAATAAATGAGTTTCTAAGGCCACAAGAGAGCCTTTCTTCACCCTCATCACAGAGCTAGGGCAATCCACATGTAGCTCTTGATCGTTTGGATCCGTGGCTCACTTTCTGCTGACTGGGAGTGGACACAGGCCCTTCCAGACACACCCAGTTGGTGCTTGCCTTTAATTTTCAGCAACTTGTGCACCCCTCTTACACTGCAGTTAAGTCTTTCCTTAGCAGGGAAAGTGGAGGTAGCAAGGAATTCATTCCACAAGGGACTTAAGTGAAGGTCTTCTAAAGGGCTTATCTGAATCTATTTCCAGAGATGCTTTTCTCCAGTGATCGTGCTGACCCTAGAGTGACAAGACTCTGCTCTGAAGTATCCATCTCCAACATCCTCCTTTCCTCTTACCCAACCTCGTCAAAGGGCCAAAATGGCTTGATTATGATGATTGCCTTTGCTCAGATGACACTCAGTGTGTCAGGAAACATCTACCACATTCTGAGCAAACTGGCAATAATGAAAAATCAATGGAAAAGAGATAAAACATGCCAAGACCATGCTTATGTCACATATTAGAGTGCTGTGTGAGAAACCCCTATGCTAGCGCTGAGCCTACTGGTGCATCCACACAGCGCAGTGCAGCAAGGAATCATCTGAGGCCCTGGAAGCTGTAGCTGTGTGGCACTCAAACTAGCCAGGCTGGTCTTCGCAATAGCTTCAGAGGTATCTCACTCAGCACTAACTTGAGCTATAATCACTGAACCACTGAAGTATTGAATCTTTAATTGCTCTCAGTCTAACATTTGCTTTCTCTTTGCCAATGACAGCTTTCATACTCCTACTGGTTATGACAAAGAGAACTGTAAAGTCATTTTCAACAAGCAAATCTGCGACTATGAAGTGGTGCAGAAGAGCGACCCCTCAAAGGAGTGCGTTGTCTATTCGCGTGTGGGCTAACAACCCACCTGCTCCGAACCTCTCTGCCCTGTGGAATTCCTCCCCTTCTTACAAATGCTTTGCCATCACAGAGAAGCCCGAAGACATGGGAGATCTTGTAAGAGACAGTACTTCAGCAGCTCACTTTTAATCTCCTAATTGTTCTAATTCAGTATACTAAGATGCATAATCAGATACAATGTCTCATTTCTGTCATTCCTTGCATTGGTATTACTGAGCTTTTCCAAGCACAATAAATCTGGATGAAACATCCAGAAACGCTTTGTAATGATGGTTCCTTTTATACAGTAACACTGGGCAATGTCACCTTCTTCAAGTGAGGAACGTATTTGCCTCATTACTCCAACATGCCGTGCAGATGCCTTATGTATTCAAATTCCCCACATTGCCTGGGGAGAGAATTCCAGCCAGTGATGGGCTACAAAACCGAATCTCCCACTTGGCAAATGGCAATATCCTAAATCTGCCCACATGTAGGAGAGCAGGCAACAACACCTTGTAAAATGCTGCTTCTACATTGGCCTCTCTGCCCCAGAACCGAATATTGAACCCCCCCCAGCTGTCTGCAGTTAACTGCTGTATGGTTTGAGAAGCAGCACACCTTCCAGGATAAGCGGGCTGTTTAATGATGCTCCATAAGCACGACAAGTCTGTTGTCATGTAAAAGGACAAGGTTACAGGCAGCTGAGCACTCTTAGGGCAGGGATCCTCACTTGGCCCAATGTCAGCCTATATTTGTTCAGCGGGGGTACTTGCTTCTCAAGATGACCCATCTCAAGCTCTGCGAGCTGTCAGTAAAATCATGAGGATTTAACGTGGTATGTTTTCTCTGGCTCTGTTTTTGGTTAATTTGCCTATGAATATTGTTTTAAATTTTCTTATGGCTTTAATTAAGATACCTCCTTTTGGGAAAAAAATCCAAGCATTTTGCAAGCGCTGGTATCACATTCTTAGCCTTTTAAAGTTCTCCACACCACAGGCTGGATATCAGCCAATAACTCCATGTTTCTGTACAATTGCTTCCTGCAAGGCTGAAGAAATGTGAGGGGCCAGAATTAGAGTCAGTTCAGCTTTTTCCAGTGCAAACGTCTGCATGTGCCTTTTTAAAATCCAGCTTTCATTCAGTGATTTAATCGTGTCATTCCTCAAAATTCCCCTAAACAGCAGCACGTGGCAATGAATGTTCTCACACTGCTTAAGTCTTAAGGTAAGTTTTCTCCAAAGAGTTTTTATATCCTGCAGGGGAGGAACAGTTTTGAAATTTGTCCCGGATGACTTTTCCCCTTTTCTGACACCTCATGTCAAATTTACACCGAACACAGCCTCAGCTGGTACCTGAAGGAATGTTCTCACAGAACAAACAGCTGCAGCTCCTTAGGTGAAGAGATATTTTGAGCATGGAGACCCAAAGACTTCCTGCCTAAATAACTCACAGAACTGTTTCTTGAGAAAAATCAGTTTTCATATTGTTTTTTTAAATCCCAGTTTTAAAAAAAACATTTTTATCACTGACAAAAGTGACTTGGAAGCTCCTCCTGGATTATTTTTTAATTCAAACCACTGAGCACTGCACACATCAGGATTAACATCCAGTTTGTTTTACTCTGGAACTCTGCCATGTGATACTGGAATGATCTCAGTATTCCAAGTTTTGCCCTACTTAATCTTAGAAATTAAGGCTCCATTTTTCTTCTGAAATTTATGAAAGCTAGTGTATTTTCTCATAAGGCCACACTCATGTTCTTAATATTGGTGGTTCCTCAGTAAGACTTCACATTTTAAGTCATTTACAGATACTTAGTTCACTTTTAAATTAAGTAGAATTTCATTCTACTTATTACCTTATGTGGACCTTTATTTATTTGTTTATAATTAGGAGCCTTATTACCTCCCTATAGTCCCAAGTATTTCTGTAGAACCTAGGTGCCAATTTTCTTACAGATGAAGATGAATTTCTCAGTGCAAGAAGACTTCTGGTTTGCAGGCAGCACCAGTAAAAACATGAGTGACTGAAACAAGAAATCTAGCACAGGCTTTGGATCTCATGCTTCATATCTTCATTAAGGTTATGAAACCGAGAAGAAACAGCACCTTTGATAAACGTGATTAGCACATCCTTCCAGAAGTTATCCGGGGATGGGGAAGCCTGTCTTCCACTGTAAGGGCACCTCCTCTACCACATGTGCTTGAAGCAGAATCTGAGCAGCCCAGCACGAACAAGAGCTGACACCAGAGAAGACAGAAAATGAATTCTGCTGAGTTTACCAGGCCCAAGAAACAGAGAGAACTGACCTAGCAGCTCCAGAGAATGGCCTGGCTTCACCGAGATCCAGAAATTCCCTCCAGATGTTACAGAAAAAAAAAAAAAAACCAAACCAAAACTTTTAGTTTCAACATTGCCAGAGTTGCTGGCACTACCGAAACTATTTTTTTTTTCCCCTAAATGAAACAATTTTAGCAACAAAGCTCAGGAATCTGGACTCCCTCTTCCTATAAAGCAGAAAGCCCCTCTACTGAGAGGGGAAACGTGTACCAGCATCACCACAGGTAATTTTTTGGGTTTGTTTTGGTTTTTTTTGTATCACGAGATGATCCAGCTGCAGGAAAGCTCTGTTTTGAACACTTGTTGTTATTTGTGTACCACAAAAACAAGGGTCATATGTGTAGGACAGGAACAGAGAGAGGCACCGGTTCAGTTTTCCATCCTTCACAGTGATGAAGCTGCTGGTTGATTACTGGCCCAATTTCAGTAGCTTCCTCAGAAATCCCAACAGAACCTTCCCAAATCTGAAATATTTTTGTGTTTGATTTGCTTGGTAAGAAACTGAAGAATAAGTTTTTGCCCCTTGTATGCTCACCCCTGCAGGGAACACCAGACAGGCCGTGCAAAAGCTCCTTAGAAACCACATGTTGTTATCATAAGTCCAAGTTTCAGATTCTTAAGATTTCATAGCATTCTGAGTCAATCTGTTGACATGTACGTGATCAGACAGCCATGGCAGTGCCATGCATGCATTTGAGCTGCAGCCTATTTCACATTTGAAGGAATAACAAAAATAAAATGCAAGCTGTTATTTTGTGAAAAAAAAAAAAAATTACATAAAGCCCGTTAAATATTCTACCCTTTCAGGTGCTGTGATTCCTGTTTGCTTTCTCAAACAGGGGGAAAGCAATTCTTCTAGCACAAGTATGCTCCCGGTAACTGTTAAAACACTTCCAAGAAGTTGTCGTGGACATTGGAGGGGTTTTACAGCAGCATTTCCTGGGCTTCCTTCTTGACACTGCCATGCAGTGGCTACTGGTATTACAAACTAAACAGCCCGGGCACGATTCTGGCGAAACCTGTCAGAGATAAGAGCCACAACAATCCTCTTTGTGTTGTTCTATTCTAGTTGCTGCCCATCAGGAACAGACAGGAAGGGTGTAGAACAAGAAATGGGAGGAAACAGGATTTCATACATCACAGTGGAAAACAGCAGAGAAGAAAAAAAAGAGAAAAGATCCCAACAGCCAAGGCATCCCGTGGATTTGGCCAAAGCATTCTGTGGCTGCCCTCCCCACCCCAGTTTGTTCTCAGTCCATGCAGCAATAATACCCAATCACTGAGTTTTATCTTCATGGAATCAGGGACTAACAAGTTTAGAAAATGGAACAAGCTCATGTTATCTAAATAGAGCTGAAATAGAGTGTTGGTATACACAGAATTAAGCAAGCTTTCCCCCCAAAAAAGCCCAGAGATCACTGAACTAAGTAACTGGCAGCATAAACCTGAAGTTAAGCCTCCTTTCATTTTGTGCATGCACGTGCAGGTTGTGTTCAAAATGAAAGATGTGCTTATCCACAGAACTAAACAGGGGAAAAAAATTAAATGTTTCTCATCCCACTGAAATTGCATTGAATTAAAACTGAAATTTGGCCCAGGGATGGGGACTCTGCTACCTACAGAAGGAAACAGGGGTGTTCAGATCAGGGGAGAAATTATATTGGTGCCTCTATCTTGGGCCTCCCAGCTTGAATTGAAACCTCAGTTCAAACTTCTGCTGTGCCACGTGTTACCTGGGACAAGTCACTCACACCATCTGTGCCCCTCGCCTCAAATAAATACAATTCTTTGCTAATTCCTATACCAGGAGAGATGTGAGGGCACGGGCTTTGAGGTTTGTGGGTATATCAGCCTCAGAATTAAAAAAAGAAGTTCCCACCCAGATAAAACTTCCTTCTACAGCACTTACAATATGTTTCTGTGTCAGCAGCGCACTGTGTATTTTAGTGATGCTTGCTCATGCTTTCCTTAAAACAGTTGTCCTTTCTCACATACGAATGTGGCGGACTCTTATGTTGGTTTTACAATTGTTAAACATTATACATAGCATTATCAGTTTAAGGTCAAGACAAATTTATTTTTAAAACTGTGTTTACTTATGATCTGTGAGCTGATATGCCTCGTGCTTCCTCTTGCTTTCCCCCTCTCAACCAGTCAACCTACTGGTTTACGTGACCTTATTTTGACTGGATATTATTTTCCATAAGGAGTCCTGCACTTACCACTTCCTACAGAAAGCAGATCCCTCTCAAGACTGTGAGAGTCATACTGAAATTCTGGGTTAAGAAACAAGGTTCCTGGACTGCTTTCGTTCTAGTGTGTCTCTTCTATCTTTAAGTTGTTTAGAGAGTAATGCTCTTCATAGGTATCAGGTAGTTTGCTGGGTTCTTTTAATAACACTACTGCTCCAAAATCATGCTGTATTTCTCTCTGTTGATGGCCTAGCACCAAAAGATACAGAAAAAGCAAGGCTGATAATCTTGCATTACTCTCATCATCTCTGCGGTCATCAGTGAGATGTAACCAGATATCCGAGCAGAAGAATGGCCAAGTAAAATAGTGAAGTAAATCTTCAAGAAAGTCCCCAAGGTTTTTCCCCACTTTATGAAGAAACAGGATATTCTGTTCAGCAGCATAAGTCGAAAGAGAGGACAGAACTGGGCAGGGCGCTGGTATTCTGAGAATGTTTTTAGTAGGAAATAAACCAGTTGGGAAGACAACATGAGCTTTCAACAGAGCAATGCCTGTTGGAGATACCTGTTCCCCACACAAGCAAGCCTCCTGTCATCCTGTACACAAACAACACAAAGAACGCAAACATAACATGGGCCACAAATGACCTCAGTAATCAATATACGAATGGACTATCTACATAGCGTTTGCTCTTCTGACTGGTTTCAGCACCACAACATGTTGTTCATGTCCCCTGAGTTCACAGATCACACAAAGAGCTGCTTCGATGTCCCTGGACACTGCCAAGGCTTAGACAGGTCGCTCCCTGCTGCATTCCAAAGAAAGCTGCTTGCAAGAACTTCTCTCCATACCTGGCATAGCTTGCACTGGGAAAACAGGGGAGGTCCTGCAATGGGAACAGCTAGGCAGTCACTGTTTGCCTGCAAAGTTGAGAGAGAGGACGCACACGCACATTGGTTGGACTGTTGTTTTTTGGATTTGAGCAACAAACACATTCTCTGTCACTCAGCACCAAACCAGCAAGTTGACTGGGTTTTAGCTGTAACAAATTCTCCAGGTGTCACTCCAGTACACCATCATCACAAATTGCTCTGTATCTGGTGACTTTTGTTTGCATACAAAAACTGCTGCAGGGTGCCTGTCAAGAAAAATATTGCGTGCAAAGTCCACATCGTGCAAGAAGAAAAAGATTAAATGGCTTGGTAATATTAACAGAATTAAGACACTGTAATGTGATGGTCCTTTTCTTCCAAACTATCATGGAATACTTTCTCCAGATTACCTTTGAGGGCATGGAGGAGCCAATATCTTGAACAGGACTCTGTGGTACTTCCCACAGTAATTCCAGCCAAGGTGAAATAGTTACTTCTCAGCATGTAAAGGTTACAAAGAGCAGGCGTGCAAAGCTAGGGTCTTGTCCTTAGCCATCCCACAGCTGTAAATCAATTAGATCAGGCAGCATAAGAACAGGACACCAGAAGGGAGAGTGTGAACTCTCCATCTTCACTGCAACCAACACAAAAGGCAGCTTTGGTCTCGGATCAGGGTGCATTATTTCTTTATCCTACTGAGCCTTTTTCCCCTTTAATAGAAAAATGCACAGTCTCTGAAATACCTCCTCTGAAACACTGACAGTATCCCAAACCACAATGATGCTGTTAAATTGGCTTCATGCATATTTTTGAGAGGTCCAAAAGGGACACTTGGACACTCTTGATGTCAGTGATGAAATTCCCAGTGCCTGTGCTCCTGGGCTGACACATTCTGTTGGTTCACCAGTCATTAGGAGTCAAGGGCATGAGCTGTGTGGTTGCGGTTAGTCATCTCCTGTTCCAGGGCAGTGCCTACATCAGCATTGCCAAATCTAACTTATTAACGACAGGCTGATTGTGGGCAGCTTTAATCAAGCCTATGGATAACTGCAGGCACTTAATCTCTTTTCTGACATCCTGAAGAAAGGTCTGGTAACTGAAGAAAACCAGATTTACCCAATCTACTGAGTTGAAAGCCAGCTAAGGCTGTCCCTGTGAGCGGTGGTCTCAACTGTGGCATGCATTGCAATAGTGCTGGCTTTCTCACATGGACTTCCCGAGCGAGCTCTCAACTCTGGAATTTGGGTAGAAGACATGGAGTAGCTACCCCAGCTTGGAATTAAACCTCAACTTTGGAACCCACACAACGAGGCAATGCAGTTCGGCAGCCAGCATAGTTCAAGTATTGCAAACTGCATAGCCAGGGTAATAAGGGGAAGTTTTCTTCCCCTGCCAGGGCTATGCAGTTTGCAATATTTGAACCAACAAGCTCAAAGCTAAGCAAGAGGGGACTGTGCTTGACTCCTTTGCTATCAGATTACTCTCCTGACCATTTGCAAAGTATGTCTGTCCCTAGAACATACACCTTCTGTAGAAAAGGGACCATTTCTCCCTGGCTACAAGCATGAAAATATATGATGCTTATTTTTTCCCCACTCACAGAGGACCTGAGCATATGGGTCTTCTACATGACAGAAAACTGAATAAGGAAGAAAACAGTTATCTAGGACCCTTTTCTAAGAGCCTACAGATGCCAGCCACTCTCCACAGAAACCCTGCTTTACATGTAGCCCTTCCAACCACCTCTCCTTTTTCACAAGAGCCTTGTTTCACCTTCAGCTGATTTATTGCCACCTCTTATAGCATGTAAAACAATGTATAGAACACTTTAATGGAAGATTTTAATAAACCATGTACTGTATGCGAAGTTGCGCTGAAGAGAAATTTTAGTTTGGTACACAAGAATAGGGATACCACTAATGCAAGTTGTATCATATGTGGCACATTTCATGCTACAAGTGTCTTACACAGAATTCAGAGACTGCCTTTGAAGAAGAAAGCTGAATGATTGTTCCAAGATCCTTTCTTTTAAAGCCTAAATTGTTGAAACTAGGCATGAAAATTTTGTTGTGATTGACAACCGCAACGTCTACAATGGGTTTCTCAGTGCAAGTGCTAAGTACTCCTTCCAGGCTTGAAATGTCTGTTGAAGTGCCTCCCATAACCGCCTTCCAGACCTGGCGTGGCACAAAAGCCACACCTATTTCCTCAGGGCCTTTCAGAACCAAACCTTTCTGTATATAATTGGCTTATTTTAATAGTGCCCACCCCATGAGGTCATTTTGCAGAAACCTTATTGGAGTTATTCATGCACATCGTTTGCTCAAGGACTTGTATAATAAATTCCCTCTCTATATAAATTTTCTGAGAATATGAGCTTCTTACAGGTTGTCTCCTGACTGGAAGCCTCTTAATTCTGCAAGAATGGTGAGTCCTTACATCTTATACTGTAAAAGACCATGGTATTTTGCTGTAGATTTTAAAGAAGGTTCTGTTGGATTTCTCTCAGTATTCGGAGACCTAAGCAACTTGGAGAAAGTAGCAATTCTGTGTTTTGAGAGCTAAAGTCAGACAGATAGGCACAGGCAGGTAAAAACCTTGGGTAGAAGATATCAGCATGCATATGGCAGGAGTTATGTAATAGGACTCCAGCTAAGGCTTATCATAACTTGTTTTCATTCACCTGTAATATTTGGAGATGTCTTTTCTGGCAGAAACCATCTCTTATTATGTCTCAACCTAGAACTGGCCTTCATTTTTGTGAAAAGTCTGGTAACATCTGAACATTTAGTTAAAATCAAAAACGTTATCTTTATTTTTACTCATTTGCAGCCCTGTTGCAGTTCTGTGGGTTTTGACCTCTCCTCTGCAAGATTAAATGCCACTTTTTCCTCCTGCCATCTCTCAGATATGGCTTCTTTTTATAAGTCACCAGTTCTACTCTGTCCAAAAAACCCACATTAAATACAATGTACATGTGTGGGTATATGTCATTATTTATTCCCAGTCTACCTTTCTTCTCTTACCAAGATTTTAAATTAATTACAACTAATTCCACCCTAGAGTTCTTGTGCTTATTTCCTTCATATCCCCAATGAAAGGCCTTTAAACATTTCAAACTACTATTGGAGGATAAGGGACTGACTGAGGGATTTAAGCTGAACTTTCAGAAAAAGTTGCTGGCAAAGGTAATAAAAATGTAGAATTATCTAGGTTGGAAGGGACACTTGCAGGTCATTTGGTCCAACCTCTTGCTCAAAGTAGGGCCAAATCTTGAGGGTTTAACTTCAGCTGAAGCTCTTCAAGCTTGTTCCTAATCATTCAATATTAGGGTGAAATATCCAGTGGGTTCTTCAGACTCCAGTGAAGAATTTACAACTATGAGTGAGGTCAGGGAGAGAGACAGTCGGTGACCAGTCCTACGGAGGATCATGGCAAGAAAAATGAATGGGGAGGGGAAAGGAGTAGAACACACTCCTTTCACAACCGGTATCTGAGTCTATCAGTCCTGTATGAGGCAATTCTTGTTTTTATCAGCTTGGAAAGACAGACTTGGCCCCCCCCCCAAATGAAGCTCTGCCTCTGCTCCTTCTAAATGACTCAGTATTCCTGACTGTGTGTTAAAGTGTCTAAACTGCAAAAGAATGGATTTTTATTTGAAGCCACAATGTATTTTCCTATTTCTAATGGTAGTATTTACCATGAAGACACCCTAGTAGTTACTTAAGTATTGATATTAATTCTGCTTTGTTCTTCAGAAAACCATCTTGGCCTGCCTTCTTGTTCTTGTCATTAGCGTGACACTGTCCAATGCTGCTTGCTTCTTTCAGCCACTGAATCCAGGGACACCTGATGAGGAAGTCACAGGTAAGAAGCCACCTGTCCTCAACTTGACAGACGTCACCACCAGCACTGCCTGATTTGATTTGTCCATTTGGTGCAATTTGTCACAGTTTAAAAATAAGTGGAAAGAGTAGAGAGAAACCATTAAGTAAGGGGGAAATATAGTATGAAAAGCAGGGAATCTATATTGTGTTATGAAAAAGAAGAGTTTATCTGAGGAGCATCACACAGGCCAAAGTACAAATTCATTTTGTCCAGGGAAATAGCATGGGCTTAGTTTATAAATCTGCATGAAATAATTCATGTTTTCACTTTGGAAGCATATTTAGAAATACAGAGAAGGGAGGAAAAGGACCCTTCTCTGTGTGGATGTGGTCAGTATAAAGCTGGAAACAGATTAGCCAATGTTCAGCACACCGGTCAGTTTACTCATCAGTTGTTTCTCTATCCCAAGGAAAGTTCTTAAGAGCAGAATGGCTGCTCCCATTGAATCTGGGACTGCTCTTCCCAAACATGGCTCTCTATCAGGCTGCAGATGAGGGGAGGTGCAGGAAAATAAGCACTCAAAAGACACACAATTGTTTGGACACAAGAAGTGCTGATGTGTGCCAGTAGGCAAAATAAACCAAATGCCCCAAAACAGAGCTTTTTTTTTTTTTTTAAAACTAGTACTCCTACTAGAAAAATGAGTTAGCACTGTCAAAGAAACAGAACATATTTGTAGGCAAAGACACAACCTAGAACACCAAAGTATTCCACTCTGCCTTGTCCTGTCCTCATAAAATCCTGCTTTCCAGATCACCCATCTAGGAAGTCTACTCATAGCATCATGGAATAGTTTGGGTTGGAAGGGACGTCTAGTCCAAACCCCGCCTCCAATGAGCTGGGACATCTTCAACTAGATCAGGTTACTCAGAGCCCCGTCCAACCTGGTCTTGAATGTTTCCAGGGATGGGGCATCTACCACCTCTCTGGGCAACCTGTTCCAGTGTTTCACCACCTTCAGTGTAAATAACTTCTTCCTTATATCTAGTCTAAATCTACCATCTTTTAGTTTAAAACCATTATACCTTGTCCTATTGCAACAGGCCCTGCTAAAAAGTTTGTCCCCATCTTTCCTATAAGCCCCCTTTAAGTACCAAAAGGCCACGATAAGGTCACTCTGGAGCCTTCTCTTCTCCAGGCTGAACAACCCCAACTCTCTCAGCTTTTCTTCATAGGAAAGGTATTTCGCCCCTCTGATCATTTTTGTGGCCTCCTCTGGACCCGCTCCAACAGGTCAATGTCTCTCCTGTATCCCAGAGCTGGACACAGTACTCCAGGTGTGGTCTCACCAGAGCTGAGTAGAGGGGCAGAATCACCTTTCTCAACCTGCTGGCCATGCTTCTTTTGATGCAGCCCAAGGTACAGTTGGGCTTTCTGGGCTGTGTGTGCCCATTGCTGGCTCATGTCCAGCTTTTCATGCACCAGTACCCCGAGTCTTTCTCTGCAGGACTGCTCTCAATCCCCTTCATGCCCCGACCTGCATTGATACTGAGGGTTGCACCAAGTGCAGGACCTTGCACTTGGTTTTGTTGAACCTTATGAGGTTCACATGGGCCCACCTCTCCAGCTTGTCCAGGTCCCTCTGGATGACATCCCATCCCTCAGGCATGTCAACTGCACCACTCAGGTTGGTGTCCTCTGCAATTCCATGACTGTTAGACAGGAACTTTGTATCCAGTATGTACTTTCTTACTGCAGCTGAGGATTGGGAAGTTTTCCAGGCAGATTTAATCTTGCTCTGCATGAGGAGTCAACAGCAGTTGGTGTTAATGAGGGGGGAAGTCAAAGCCTTTTCTTAATTTTGACCAGGTCTGTGCCTAGCTGTCTTTCCACTGGGTGCTCCAATTCCTGTACTTAAAGATGAGCTACTTCAGGAAACCTGGTGTTGCAGAGAGCCACAGGAAACAGAGGGACCCAGGATACCCTTCTTCATGCATTAGAATAGCAGTAGTCCTGCTCTTTTGGGGACCCTCAGTGTTTGCCAGATAGGGATGTTAAATGTAAAAAGCCAGCAAAGATCCCACCCATTTTGTACAAGCAATAGCATTCTTAGTGCAATGGGTCTGACGCTGAAGGCTGCTTGCACACTATGTTTTCAGGCTGCCGTGACTTGGATGGAGAACTGCACGAATTTGGTTCCCGCTGGAGGAATGCGGACTGCTATGATTGCTCCTGTTCTGAGACTGGAATGGACTGCTGCTCCACGTGAGTTCGGAGCAGCAGCAGGGGTTTTCCTCTACTGCTAGGATATAGCAGAAGGCACTTCCCTTCACACAGGGGTCCCTGAGAAATGACCGTGACCCTTCTCTCCCTCACTTCATATCACAGAGTTATGCATTAACCCAACACCATCATCAGTGAGCAAGAAGTTCTGACAAATATAGCTCATGTTTAAAAAAAATGATTCTTGATTTTTAAAAAGGACTTAATTCTTCTCAGGGCTAAAATTTCAGGGAAGATACTGATTAAGAGAAAACACATGGTTACTTAAGAATTTTCTACTGCTCGTAATGCAGATCTTCCCAAAGCCACACATAGCCCTCTTTACTTTGAGAAGCAACTCAAGATACACTGGCCTGCCTATATTTTTTACTACAGCAACACCCAACCACTCTTGCAATTCTTGTTCCATATTGTAGCCGAAAAGAAAAATCAATCATCTTTGAGTAGCAAATAACCACAACAAATATCCCTTGGGTATAAATCAGATCAGTAAACAACTCTTCCCTAATCCTGCTTAAGCAGTGGGCTAAGTAACTTCTGAGCTAGGAGCTTTGTGCGAGTTCCCTCTTCTGCTCCTGAATACCTCCTCAGCGTAGCCTCTTCATATTGAAAGCGTAGGTACCACTCTGAAGCTGTGTACTTCTCGGTCTCATCACCTTTTTGTCTTTTGTTTCCCAATGACAGCCTTGCAATACCAGTTGCCTATGATGAAGAGAAGTGTGTAAAAATTCTCAACAAGGAGACCTGCTCTTATAAAGTAGTGGAGAAAGATGATCACTCAAAAGAATGCCTAGTCACTGCAGAGGTGGGCAAATAGAGAAGGATTGTGGATCTGGAGGTTATTTCCTTTTTTTTGTTTTAAGGGTTCTCTCTCACACAAATTAAAAAACACTGAAAAAATGCATCTATTGAGTGAAATCTACTCATAAAACTGAATATCTAAAGACTCACTTGGTTTCTCTGCCTTCTGCTTCCCCATGAAGAAAGAATTGACTTGTTCCTTCTTTGAGAGCAGAAATTAAAGCCAACATTTTAAATCATCCTCAGTAGCTGCTAGTTTTAATTCTTTTCCAGTCACACTTCAGTGCCAGGGAGTACATTCTGTTATCTGTGAACAGCTGTATCTTAAAGCTAAAATAAAATCAGATGAAGCATTAGAAATGTGTGACTTATTTTCTTCTTTGAGGACGGAAACCTAAAGAATTAACATTAAAAAACCCCCAAACCATGTGAAAGAAATGAAAAGCAACTAAAAAAGCTTTCTGAACACTTTCTTTTCTAGGAGAATGTCTTATATGATGGTATTTTATCCTATATAGTTCCCTGGAGCCTGCCCAACCTATGGGCTGCAAAAGCCACCAGCTACCCAGTCTAACCCAGCACTTTACTTCCATTGCACCTACAGCATAGCAGATCTAGTCCCCAAACTGGAGTCTGGGTAAGAGAAAGAGTCCTTTATTCAGATTAACCCTTAAGTTATTGAATTGGCTAACGGGCAGGATTGTAGCTGGATGGAAAGACTAGGCTCAAACAGGCAAGAAGCTCAGCAAATCCACAAACAATAACCAAGAGGGATACACATGCTGGTATAAGCTCTCCATCGGGGCACGGCTTCATAAGCTTTATGGGTACATTTGTTCAGTTGCCTCTTTCTACAAGTGACTATGAGCATCCCTTGTCTCCATGCTCTGTTTCCCTGCAACAGAAAGAATGTGCCAGAGCTTCCACAGTTCCTTGTTTCACATCATGGAAGGAGCACACACCTTGTCAGCAGAGCCTGGTCTTGCTGTCAGCAGGGGCAGGGCAAACCTCAGCTCCTGTCGGCCTTGACTACATGTGCTCTGGTAAGCAACACAGGACCTTAAGAATGACGCCCCAGTGATTTATTCCACCTCTGCTTCCCTTTCTCCTTCCCCAGGAAGGCAAGCCTGTTGGTTATACTCTTTTTAAATTGCCTGCCATAAGTAATATACTTCATACAACAGTTTACAAGCCAAAGCTGCTAATGTAACCATGCAATTAGACTAAAAGTGCCACAAAGCCCATAATGCACTTATATGAAGAGCATTTACATATACTGCAAAAAAGGTAAGAGGGTCCTGCATGATTTGAGCTGCATCTGTCCCACTTCCTCCTTCCTAGGCTACCAAAACCCACACAACACTGGTTGAGGTCTTCTGCTCCACACCGGGTAAGACACAGGTGTCAACAGGCTGTCCAGGAGCACATGCAGGATTGGGTTGTGACTGAACTGATATTCTTGTGAAGCCCAGGAAGATGATGTATGTAGAAGTTCAGAGCTTAGCACCCAAAACACCTTAGTTTGAGAACAAAGGATAGCTCTTCCTTTTTATCTTTAGGCAGCAGGGTTTTGATCACATACTAAGTAGAGCTAGCATCACAATTTGTCTGTTACTACACCTGGTTATTTTGCAGATTACTTCCAAACTCACCTGAAACTGCCTGCTGAATTAGGGGTTTTTTTTCTAACATCTGCCCATATCTGGAAAAAACTGGGACCTGCTTGTGGTGTATTTACACAGTCAGGCAATTATAGTGCACTGTGGAACAAGCTTTGTAACCATTTAGGCACGTGGTTAGTATCCGTCTTGATCAGGTGCCCCTTAGTGATAAGAAGTAGTTCACAGAACCAGTCAAAAATAAGATCCAGACTTTGTAATTATATTCAGGAAGACTACAAGCTTGAGAATACAAAGACTAAGAATATCACAGTAACCAAAGAGCAATGTGCTCTGATGACATTTCTGAAGGCAGTGGTATAAACTTTCTCAGTATTTGCAGAGATATTCTGGAGACACCTGCTTCTGAACGCCTGAGTTACTCCTTTTCTGTAGTACCACAGCCTAAACTGAAAGCGTTGATCAGTCTGGAACTGTGACCTGCATTTGACTGAAGCTGAGCTTTGCATTTATGGTCTCTGTGTACAAGAGGTCAAGTTCAGCCCAGTCTTCCAGAAGTAGAGGGCATTTTTTTCTTTCCTGCCATCTTCTTCCCCTCCTCAGTTAATTAGTTTTCTCCATCACCGAAGTCTGCTAATTTCTTTTTCTCCAGTTGTTCCAAGGACACCAGTCTTTTCTATTCCACTGCAGATCACAATCTGATCTCTGAAACAGAATGAAATCCACTGAAATCCATCTGCCCTGAGCTCCTCTCTGTGTGCTTAAGTTTGCCAGTTCGAGCACTCTTGGACAGAGTGGAGCAGATGAGGCATCCCACTATGTAAGGTCTGAGAATTGTCCAAAGGCTGGGAGTATTACAACTCCTGAGTCATTTTGGATGGACTCTATCCAAGCATCAAGGCCATGAGAGGAGGTTTAAAAAACAAGCCATTACTCTAGCCTGTATCTTACAGGTGCCATCTGTTTACAGACAGGATTCGTGTTCTCAGACACGAATTTTGCTGTTTACAGCAGGTAAACATTCGGATTCACAGCCTGTCCCAACATCCAACAAAAAAGAGCAAAAAAGTTTTCCTGCCAAGAGGATACAGGCATTTGTAAGGCCATCCCAATTTGCTATAGTGGAATGGAGTGTGGACAGATCATTCTGGAGTTTGTGTAATAGTCTTCAGCCTTTTCTATACAGCATAAAGGAGAGATTTGTCTCTGTGTCATTGCCATCCCAGCAGCAGATGCAGTTTGAGCCCCACCCACAAGGAGGAGCCCATCTTCTCACTAGGTTTGTTCCAGCAGTAATGAGCTGCCTTTACCTCAGACTCCAGCTCCCCCATTGGTTTAATCCAGTGCATGTGCAGGCCATTCGTTTCCTACTTGCCTCTAGCTATTGACATCCTTACTCTAGTCCAAAATTTTGTTTTCCATTGTTCTGGTCCAACTCATTGTTCTGGATGACCAGCCCCAGCCCCTTCAGCACCTGCCAAGGATGCTGAGGTTGGGTAAGAACCATTTTGGAACTGCACCCACATACTTGCATATACAATCACAACTTGCCTACCACAAAGCACGTGTGTTTCTTGGGAGAACTGGCTGACAGAGTGACTGCAAGCAGAAATACTATCTTGCCTCTTCTGTTTTTGCTTCCCACTCTCACCTTCTTGGAAAGCTCAAGACTTACCATTCACAAAACAATGTATCCACATTCAGTAGTATTGCTTAGGAGACACCAACCCCATTAGCAGCTAGGCCATGAGCCTGTTTACCTCCATGTGTGCATGCCTATGCTAAAAAAAGCATATTTGGAGGCATCTTCTAATGACTCCATGCCTAGTACAGATGCAAACACTTCAGGGTTGAGGCTAGAGGACTTGGGAATGCTTTCTGAGAAACTACTGCACCATGGTGCATGGGAATTGTAGGGTTGCATTTTAGTTTCCACCAAAGGATGTGACACAGGAAGAGTAGCAGCATAGATAGAGGGAGACATTTTACCAGGGCCTGTAGTGGTAGGACAAGGGGTAAAGGTTTTAACTAAAAGAGGCTACATTCAGATTAGATACAATGAAGAAATTCTTTACTAGGAGGGTGGTGAGACACTGAGACAGGTGGCCCAGAGAAGTTGCAGATGCTCCATCCCTGGAAGTGTTCAAGACCACGTTGGACAGCGCTTTGAGTAGCCTGATCAAGTGGAAGATGTACCTGCCCATGGCAGGGGGAGCAGAACTAGATCATCTTTAAAGGTCCCTTCCAACTCAAAACATTCTATGCATGTCTTTCTGTCTGCAGGTCTTCCAGATTCAGTTGTAAGGCATCTCCATAGAGAACACCAAGTCTTAAGTAAGCTGTGACCAAAGATTTACTTACTTTAAGGCTGAGTGGACCTATGCACCCAAATTCCAGAAAAGCCAGCCTTACCAGCACTCCTATGTGATCCAGACCTATTCAACCACATTTTAAATCCACCCAGGCACTTTTCTGCATTATCTGCCAAGTCTTGTTATGACATATGGATCTACCCTGTCTGCTATGCAGACGTAGGAAAGATTAATTTCATGTCTAATCCAAAAAATCCTCCAGGGATCAGTCTGCTCTTCTCTTGTCTGCTCCAAGTTTCAACATGGAAGCAGATGATGTTACCCATTGCATCTAGTTTTGGAACACCAGAAGCACAGCAGGGCCTTGGCTCCCTTCTGTAGCAAGCAGCCTAGCTGTGGGAGGATGACAAAACCTTTGAAACAGAGAAAGAGACAGAGCGTACAAAGGTCTGCTTTGCTCTTCCCACTTTTGCTAAGTGATGCTTTGTCTTGGCATTTCACTACTTCAACATGCATAGCTACAGTCCCATACAAAGGATACTTCCCCCCCACCCTCAAAGCCTTAGATCATAACACCACTAGCTCCACGTAGTGGAAAGGAAACATCCACATAAAGAGCTTTCTCAATTACCGTGACATGTTAAACGTTTAAGAGACTCTGCAGAACCTTGGGAGGCAACACAGCCCAGGCAGAGCAGAAGTTGTACGCTCTCTTCCCCCCCACTTCCCCCTCTCTCACACCTCTCCCGCTAGCCCTGCTAGAAAGAGAGGCAGTTTCAGACAGCTGGCCCTGGTCCCCCTACTCCCAGTAATTCTTTTCAAGGCAAGTCTTTTGAGCACTGGAAAGGTGTTCTTGCCCTGAAAATGAAATCTAGTGCTTAGCTTACCAATGACCAAGTCTTTTAAGCCAAACACCAGAACACACATGTCATAAATCTGATGGAAGTTTTCCTATCAAGCAGTGTTTATCACCTAAAACTTAATGGTTTAGTACCCATTTGTGTTTTGTTTCTGTTAGTATTTTTGCCCAGATCTTAAAAATAAAATCCAACTTAATAATGAACAAGGAAAGTGCATGTCATTTACATTATGCATACCAAATAAGCTAGAGATTTGCAGTTCACATTCCATTTCATACCAATTTTAAAAACTTAGATAAATTCAGTTCATGACAATTTTGTTCGTTCACTTTGCTCTTAGTTAACTCATCTGTCGGTATGCAGGGAAGTTTGCCTTGGCACCTTTTGAAAGCCGGAACGTTTCTGTTCAAATCTACCGTTGTGTGCACGTTTCCCTGGACTTATTTTAGGGCAAACTGATTGGCTTCATAACAGGTATTTACATGAAACTCCAGAATACATAAGGCACATGACCTATCTAAAATACCCAGCAAGACAAGGTTACCTTAACACTTCTCCCCACCCCCAAAAATCCCGTTTTCACATTTCACTTCTTTCAGCTTGTAAGTCTCAACCACTGACCCATGCTTTTTACACTTCTCCAGGGCTTTTACAAAGTCAATGCTTCAAGTAGATCTCCACTATGGACCACTAATAAACTGCAATCCTTTGGCACCACCAGATGATATCTTCCTTCAAAATATCCCAGCATTTTCTCCACTGTAATTCCAGATGTTTCTTCCATTGCCACCCTGGCCTGCCAAAGATGGAGCAGCTGTTTTGTTTAACAGCTAACTATAATGGCTCACAGACAGTGAAAGAATTCATTGCCTCAGCTGTGTAACACAGAAGTCACTCCAGTCTGCTGTGGTAGGGACAGGTAGCTGAACTGGGCAGAAATACCAGCTTGGGACTGGGTAGCTTCCCTAGCATGCTGTACCGAGCCAAGTTGCATTCTCAGAGTACAACAGCTCCCTGACACTTTGCCTCCCCCTTCTCAGTTCCTATTTTGGGACTTGCTTGATCTCCCCTAATAGCTCTATCCCATAGTCTCCCCTGGTCCTGCACAGGGAGGAAGCTTCCTGGGGGCTGCAAGATCTCATTTTATTGGGGTGGTCTCCTGTTCTTGCCCTGCTGCTGGACAGCGGGAGGCTGTCCTGAGCACCAAAGGTGGTGGTCAAGGAGATGTGAGCAGGGGTCTGGCTTGGTGTGATGCTCACCCAAAATTCTTTAGACTCCCAAAGTCATTGACTAGATTATTAAACAAAAGCCTCTTTTTCCAGCTCAGTTGTTTGTTCCTGTTTGTAGTATTTGAGTGTGTAAGGCAGACTTTTGCATGGGTACATTCAAAGTGTTGACTATTGCTCTCTAATATTAACAGCAAGTTATGCAAATGGGTTAGATAAGAGATCAATGCTGTAACATTATTATGAATCTGGGCAGAGACATTTGTGATCATAACACCCACAAGTTCAGCATCTGGTTTGGCTACATGGCTGGCCTCAGGCCTATGTTTTTAGGATATAATCTCTGTTGAACAGCTGATATTCCTAATTAACATCTCCCTTCACTTTCTTCCAAGTATCCTTCTGAATGGGGGACTCTTACATCCCTTTTTCAGTTAGGACGAGTTTGAAAGTTACAACGACCAAAACCATGAGAAATGGTGTAGCATGCCAGTATTCTTTGCTTGGTGCTCACTGCCAGCCAAAAGTTTCAGAGAGGACCTAAGTTTTTCAGCAAGCCTAGTGGGAAGTATAAGGAGCTTGATCAAGCAGATTGCTCTAAATACAGCCCAGCTACAGTAGTACAGCTTATTTATCTACACATGACAGCCCTAGAACTTTCTTTTGTTGTCGCTAAGGTTCTGGTTTGTATTGCTCCTTTTTTCTCCTGTAAATTCACTACAGTCACTAGATGGCATCCTAGTCCTGTCACAGCACTGCTGTGCTGTAAGGAGAGCATGGACCAGTCAGAGCTACAGGGAACGCAAGAACCTAGATCCAGGTTCAGCTGGCAGGCATGAGCTCCATTTCTGTTTGCTCCAGTGAGGTTTCAGAATGTAAGGAGCATTTTAGAAGCATCGTTAGTCTATCAGTACAGAGAGAAACTGCCAAAGAGATATTATGGGCAGGACTGAGTAGTTTCAAGACTGTTTTTTGAACTTGGACATCTACTGGCCTGCCTGAAATACCCTTGACACAAGGGAATGAAAACTTAACGATAACATTAATTCAGAGCTTCATTGAGAGAATCGATGCATTAGCACCTCTGTAAACAGAGAGCAAAACCAGGAATCTGCCCCTTGCAGCACAGAGTAAGTTGAGTCAGATGTGATGGCTTGTGAAAGTATCGCTAGGGATGAAAGGGAAAGTCTAATACTAATTCTGAAATAGTGGATCTGGTTCACAGAAAAAAACACCAATGCTGAGATCTATTCTGTCTGGGAAGAGAAGCAACTTCATAGGCTTTCTTAACAGTAGAAGCATTGATAGGACTGACCTCATGCCTATAACCACCAACTTCTTTCTTACAGACCTCTCAAACTGCTGTTTTATTATAACAGTTTCTGGCTATACTGCCCTTTCTCCACTGCATTTTTCTTGCCTTTCAAGAATGGAGAAGGCAGATGCCAGAAAGTAAACTTCTAATACTTGGAAGAAAAAAAAAAAAATCTTTGCCCAGTTGATAGAGGTTTTCAACAGTCCATGCCAGTAACCATACTTCATGTCAACTCTAGAAATTCATTGTTGTGCATTGTGTTAGTGCAGCGTCCCTTAACTTCGGAGGCAATAACCTCTATTTGCTGACCTTACTTCTGCTCAGATCTTAAGGTTATAGTCTTCCTAAAGATTTGGCTAAAGGCAGGACTAGAAGTTCCTTCTGTTCCCCTGCCCCCCAAAATTTTCAGCCAAATTCCTTAGAGGCACTACTGTCAGAAGTAAAGATGAAGACAGAAAAACAAATGCTTGCATACCAAGTTAGACTGTGCAACACTTCTTCCCCCCAAAAAAACCCCAGCAGCTCGGAGCTGATAAGGCCATGGGCATTAGGCTGGAAGAAACACAAGTGGTATAACATGCCATTTACAATCTAGGAAGAACACATGTAGCTGCTGCCACCCTTCTTCTCTAGCACTAATTTGAGAGAAGGATCCCAGGAAACAGTCTTGTTGGCTGCCTGGACACTACAGCACACTGACATGTAATTGAATTGCAATGCTTTATTGGTCAGATAGACACATTTGGAAGGGTGTGAGTGGACACAGGACACATAGACAAGACCAGCACCCTGTCTGCAAAAGGCAAAACATGAGATGCTGGTTTTCCACAAGGCTGGCTCACTAGAGCTGCTACCAGACTCCTGTGGCTTCATAATATCAGGTAGCTCTGGGGTGCTTGAGAAGGGGTCAGTACACAATGGTTCAAAGGTTCCATTGCCAAGTCTGAATAAAGCCCAGGCCACCGTGGCAGGAAAATGAAGATGGCAGCTTTGGCTTCTTAAGCCACCGTCTAGAAAAGAAAATCACCATCCAGTAGATGGTCATCTTTGTAGAACTGCTTTGGCTCTGGTGGCCTCTTTAGTATTCCTCCCCCACCTTTTTCAGCTCATGCACAGTTGTCATCTCTTTGGCCTCAGTGAAGATTGTTGCCTTGTAACAGCAAATCATCGAGTAGACATTCATCACTACCCTAGGGCTTCCTGCAGCGCTCTTTCACTGCGAAACTGATTTCTATCCTCTTAGTGAGAAACCTGCATTTTCAGGAATAGCTGAAGTCAAGACAGGACTGTTGTTAGAGGAATGGGTTAGGTGAACGGGGACAAGGAGGGGAAAAAAAAAACCACCTAAAGGTAGCTACTCTGCTAAACAGATTAAGATCCTTGTGCTCCACTCAAGCAGAGCTATTAAGTACTTAATGACTTCTGTCTTCCTAGGTAGGTGTCATCTAGCAGAGAGCTTTTAACACTGTTAATGAGCATTTCTGTTATATTAGCTTCTTGCTTGAAAGGGTTTCATCCCCAGTTTGCTTTGGGCCACATACATCTACCGAAGATCCCAGGAGGAGCCAAGCATGCAACTCCGCCTGCACTCAGCACAGAAAGGATGGAGCACAAGAGAAGGCAGCACGCAAAGTGGTTGGGCTTTGTTGGCTTCTAGTCAGGCAAGAGACAAGAACTTCCCTGGCTCCTTCACATGTTCAGTAAAGACAGGAAAGTTGATAAATACAAAAGTGTTGAGGGCTGTCAATCTAGTGGACAGTATTAAGATATTTTAGCCTCCTACTCTGGGTTCAGGAGGTCAGTTGTCAAAATAGCTCAGTGCCTAGCACCAATGCTGATAGCAGAGACTTGGCTTAGGAGTAAATGTTCTTTTTGTTGTTTTTCTCTGCCATCTGCATTTTGATACCACTGGCAAATGCAAGCTTTCTGTGACAAACCTAGGCTAGAGTTAGTCCCTTGTATGGCATTCAAACTACATTACACCGAAGGCAGTAACAGATGCAATAACTCTGTTCTTCCAGTATTTTTTTTCCTGTCTAACAGGAGGACAGACACTGCTATTCCAGCCTGGCAGAGCCCACTTCATTCACCCCTGAGCACCCATGGGCACTGTCGTCTCAGTATGGCCATTAACTGTCCCTTCATGTCATTAACTGTCCCTTCATGTCATGCCAGCTCAGACATGCATGTGTGCCTGTTCCAGCTGGAGTCCCCTGTGCTTTGCAGTCTGTTCTCCAGGAGAGGTGAAGAAAGGAACAGAGAAATGTCATGAGTGCGGCAGAGCCAACAAAACAAGAGGGAGCGGTTTTGGACTCA